CTTCACATCATGTGGTCAAGATTGGTGCTGAGCTGTCAGACCTGCTGTCCTTGTTTTTGCAGCTGCCTCATGTTGGATTGTTTTTCTTCCGGACTGTGTGTGTGTGTGTGTGTGTGTGTGTGTGTGTGTGTGTGTGTTACAGCCTGCAGGGGGGATCTACTCCAGACTTGAAGTGCAATTTAGGAGCTCCTCTCAAGTCAGACAGAGTTCAGAAAAGACACCCAGGTACATTTACAGTGTTACACACACCCTGGTGTCTCACTCAATAACTAAGCACTTTTTTCTTTCTTTACCTCTGCAGGTCTAAAACACGCTACGCTCAAATCCGAACAACATAAAGAAGCTAATGGGGGAAAAAGGCAGTGGAGCTGCTAAATAGACCAGCATTAAACCCGATGAAGAGGACAGAGACTCGCTCCTCAACCCCAGCACTTGTCAGCCCCCCCGCCCCTGCTTAACTCAGGTGACTATGTATGGATCACCGTCAACCACATCTCCTTTCACTCGGCCCACTGTGTGTTTGTTCAGCTGCATCCAGTCCACAAAAACAGCAGAACTGTGGACCCATCTCGGCTCATTAGAAATGCACTTTGACTTTCCTCAGTGTTTCTTTAGAGACGGACAGGTGGGGATTTCTACAGAAGGCAACAGGAGAAATGTATGGAAGTCCACTCATGCCAGTGGGAAAAGAAAAAGTCATTTGTATTTCAGAAAATATTTCATAGCAATGACAAACATGTATCTTATTGTAAAATACATAGTTTCTGTCTGTCCATCAACTCCTACACAATCAGGAGTTAATCAACCAAACTTGGCACACAGGTACATCTTACCTATATCAGATACTATGGTGTAATCACATTACACAACTACCTACTGACCAACTAAAAGGACACACTTTGTGTTTATGCACCTATCTCACCTTATACAAGCATTGTATCATTTCAGTTTCACAACAGTAGCATCTCATTTACATCAGATGTTATAGTTGTGAATATTTTGATATGCAATATCATCGTGTTGCTTGGCAACCACCTGGTAACAGAATAAAATTACATTTATGTAGTAGAGCAGGACATGGGATGTAGTAGTAAAGGTAAATTTAAAAAAAGAAATTACAAAAATGCCACAACAGACAAAAGTTTTGATGTTTAAAAAAAAAAAAAAGAAGCATAAATCAAATTGACTTGAACTGAAGAAAAAAACGACATCAGGATACTGGAAAACATGTGTGTCTAAAGCTCCAGTGACATTTTTTTAAATGCTAAATTGAGATGAAATTTAATTTTGAGGTTAAGAAGTAAAATTGAGATAAATGTATTGTATGTTATATGAAAATCGGTCAAAAAGATGTCATGAGAAAAATTTATGAAAAAAAAAAATCTTTTTCTCAAACTGGCACTGATTATCTTCCTGGATGGCTAATTGAAGATGTTACCTTCTTAAACTGACATCTTATTTCCACCATAGTGGAAGGTCAGACGTGTCGCATGGAAATTTTACTGCATCAACTGAAATTTACACCCAGCCTTACATTTACACTGTAATTCTGCCTGCGTTCTGTGTAAAGCTCATTCTGTAGGTGAGAAGGATGCCACATTTGTTCCACCAAGTTCTGGTAGAGATGTAGTTCTAGTCTTTCCTGTGTTTACTGGAACGTGACTGTGCCATGTACCACACCTAGGCCAATAAAATACAAGTGGCTAAATCCATTCAGAGCCTTATGTGAACTTTTGTTTCTGGTTTATATCCACTGGGTGGCAGCAAATCACACTGGGGGAATAACTATGGATTCCCAAGACACAACCTTTGCCCCAGTTTCACCATGACCTTTCACCTCTCCAACAACCTACCAGGTGAAAAATACGCACTTGATTGGTTCTCAGCTTTAGCAAAGAGTGTTAGTGTTGTTTCCTGTATGAAAAGAAGCCAGAGCAGTTTGTGGAAACTGAAAGTCCCAGAGAGGGCTGGTATGTGCCACTAGGTTCGGGGTCACGCCGCTCCTCTCTGCATGAGAGGCACTGACCAATGGGCGTGCTAACCTGGCTCTTCCTGTAAGACTTACTCACAGGGGTATTAATAACCCTGGCTGCTCACAACACAGACCCAGAGCAGGGCTTAACGGGGCATAAAGCGTAGAGGAGGTGATGTAGGCTTTTTTTTTTTCTCCCTGTGGGCGGGCGCTACCCCAGCTGTTCTATCTTCTCCTCAACAGCAGATGCCAAGAATGGCTGAGGATGTGGATCTGGGTCAGGAAGGGGGGGTGGGGGAGTCCTGTTACAACTGGACTGAATTATGGTCCCACAGAGATAAAGAGATAGTTGGACACGAGAGCATCAAAGCAAAGACGCCAAACTGACAGAGATGCTCAGTCTGCCAAGACCTGCAGAACTAAAATGTTACCGCTGCAGATTCCTCTGAAGCCTGGCTCTGGGACACAAGGAAATGAAAAGTTGAGTGAAATTAGAATTCCATCTCCCTCTCTGGTTACATCAGAGCTGACAAGATTGTTGGGATTGCGTAAGACGAGCGTTTCAACTTTCAATGGCACGGCGTCAGCATAACCTTTAATCTAATACCAGTATGTTAACAGGGATTAGTGGAGGAGTCCACTTACACAGCAGCAACCTTGGCTAAAGATGCCCAGGCGGAAACGGTTGGATGTCGCGTTGCCTGCGTGACGGATGCCATCCGTCATCACTGAGCTTTCCTTTTAGGATTTGTGTTTTCAAACCTTTTCAAAGCACGCTCCTCTTCACACGTAGATGTATGCATCTAACAGGAGATGGGACAAAATAGTCACTATGCTTAACGACCATGTGGTCAGAAATCCTTTTCCAGAGTTGATTAACAGTGCATCGGGTCAAAGCGCAACAAACCTGTTTAGGTTGGCTTTAGTTTCACACAACAAATCTGACACAAGATGTCTTCTACTCCAGCTGCCATGTGGCAAATCGTCTTTTCTAGTAAGTGAAAGCGAAAGCAGCCTGCACTGTAGGAGGTGGGGCTGGACAAGTAAACACAAGTTCTCAGAGTTGATGACTCAATCAGCTCACAACTGAATTCGGCACAACGTCAGTGTCATTGTTCAACTGTTGACACAAGAAAAAGCTAGTGAGCAAAGCTCTCGCTAACAAAGGCTATATGTTACAATGTTAGGTTAGGTTTAGAGTTTAGTCAGCTATGGCAGCGATGACTTAAAATTCAACAGAAAAGGCCTGCTGTATCGTAACACGATAAAGACTGCATTCTTACTCAGTATTGATCAAGGCCAACACTGAAGTCTTCAGACACACAAACAATATCTGCTCATATAAAACTCGAGTCTCTGCTGTGGAATGAAGAGATCTGAGCGAAGGCAGGATTATAAAATTCTCACCTTTAATCAGTTCAAAAAGTTCACAACAAATGTAACACCTTGAGAAGGGAAATCTGCCATTAGAGATTGGATGCTTATTTGGATTTATACATTCTTCCTAATTAAACTCACTGGCAATTCATTTACTCTCTGGACAAAAAAAAAAAAAAAGCCTTTATTTGGACAAAACTCAAACAGTTACAAATGAAAAATGCAAAAATACAAAATTAAATGTAAACCCAGGTTTATTTCTCATTTTGCTCTAAAGGTAGTGTCTTGAAGCACTACTGCATGGTAAACAATCTAAATTAGTACAATTCAAAATCAAAAGCCATCTGAGTTAAACAGGAGTTGTTATAAAGATGCAACCAACCAAAGAGCCCATAAATACCTCCGCCACTTCCTTAAAACATCCCATTAATGAAGGCTCACAAATGAGCAACAATCCTCTTAGAGGAAAACAAAACGCTGATGTCGACTAGGCGACAGCACACACGCGCGCACACCCACAACAAAAAGAAATAACAGAATAAGAGGAAAAAAAAATGTTCCCATGGTATTAAAGATGCTATACAATTGGGATGATATGCACATATTCGCTTTTGCTTTCCCTGAAAAACCTCACGCTGGCAGCAGCAGCTCAGTTTTTTGGGTGAAGCAGAAAGTCATGAGCAACAAGATGCTGCTGCACGAGCAGCGTCTCTCAGCCTTCATTCATTTTCCATTAGATTCACATTCTCCCACAATGCCGTGGGGCACCAAACAAGCGGTGCGTGCGCCTCTAAAAGACCACTTTCTGTCACACCACGGGTCTAGAAGCTTCTATGCCAACTCAACACATGGGCCGATTTTCACAACACCCCCGCCCTCCCCTGCCCACACTGGGTGTAGAATAGATCTATATATAAACAAAGAGATGGGAAAGAGGGAAGAACTAGGAAACAGAACCAGGGAAGTGACGGAAACTGATCCAAAACAACATGGTTAACTTGTCCTAATCGTTATAACTTCATCATGCAGGTCTGAGAAGGGCCAGAGACCAACAGAACGTAAGCTAGATTAACAGTTTTGGAAAGTTATTACACAAAAAGTCTCCATAGAAAACGCAGATCATGTAAAAAGGACCACAGGGTGATGCGGTAATCATTTACAGAGTATTGGCATTATTTTGGTCAACAAACATCCAATGGGATGGCCCACGGCCTCCCACCACACTCAAGTGCCTCTCTTGGGTTTTGTTGTGTTTGCTGTGGTTAGGGTTAAGTTTGGAGTACTGTACAGTTAGACTGAGCAGGCGCTCAGTCACACATCTCCTCTGGGATCTCGTGAGGATTCAGGATGCCGGGCACCGACATCTGGATCTTGTGTTTCTCCTCCTGGGCCTGTCGGAGTGAAGCCTCCCTCTCCTCCAGAAAAAGGTCCGAGGTGTCCTCACCTGCAAACTCCTGAACAGCGACACAATCACAGAAAGCTGCTGTTAGCTACAAGGTTTGAAAGCCATGCTGCTTTTCTACCACAGCGACCGAGATCCTAATTTTTACTGTTAGACTGCTCAATTAACTGCAACACTACTAAACCCCCATTTGGGAGTGAGGGATCAAATACTCACTATGGGTGCTGGTAATTGAACTCACTCTTCCAAATGATGGACTTTTATTTGTAACAGGGTTAGCATGCACATGCTTTTTAATAAAAAGTCATTTAAAAGCATGTATTAGGCTCATTTCCAGCATTTCTACATTTTTATATTCTTAGAGATTTGCATGAGCCGTTCAGCTCACGTTCCCTTTCTTTGAGATAACTTCCTTCTGATTGGCTGCTGCTCACAAACAAAAGATCTGATCGGCTGATTGGTTGGGCTTTTTGGGATGCCCATCATTCAGATATTCCCTTTCATTTCTTTTCGCCCTCTTAGACAAAAAACAAACAGCAATTGGTTTAACAGTATTTGATTTACTGACATAATTACCACCTAAATGTCAACTTCAGTGCACAAAAATAAACAACAAAAAATAATTATAAATAATAAATAAATAATAATAATCAGACCAATCAGGACACATGACACAACATTAAATGTTTCCAACAGCACCCACAAAGCTTCCATAAAGTCATGGCCGCCTGACCATGAAGTGGCAGGAAAGTGTTATTTGTGGAAACAACAGCTAAGCAGTTAGCTATGTAGTCAGTGATAAGGAGAGACAAAGCTTCCATAGAGGGACAGGCTCCATGTGCTTCAGCTCAAATACACAACTGAGATACACTCAGTCTCACAACTTACACTTTGTGTACCTCCTCAACACTGAAAGGAATACTTAATACACCTCCAATCAAAGTTGCTACAGTCTGACGAGCTCACCTTTATCTGGACGAGGAAGTCCCTCAGATGCTCCTTGAAGGCAGGAATGTCCTGGTTTAAGCTGAACAGCCCTGTCACAAACACCTTCACCTGAGCACTGACAGACAAAACACACACAC